GGAAAGAGAGACAGAGGAAACCCCCGCTGTTGCTTCCTTTGAGGAAAAACGCTCAGAAATCCGACCTGTGCGGCTCGGATGCTGCGACCATTCAGCGCCTCCAGTTTACCTGAACTGGGCGGCAGGTGTCACACAGAGCCCCAGAATGCAGTGCGGGGACAATGGGACCACTATGAAAAGAGTACAATCCCCACAACCATCTGTGCCACAGATATTGTCGGCAAACTCCACTGTGTATGCATGAGTTTGGCTCAAAGGTTTGGAACTTGGCTCCTGAGATCCTGGACGCTCCTCAGAATCAAAAAGACAGACTAGGATTAGAGACTAAGACGAGACTGGACTGTGCACAGGTCAGGAGGCAGAAATTGTATATACTGTTTCAAGTGTTCGCCCATTTGTTTTGCTTTTTTCAGAGACAACCGTCAAATTGGTCTAAATTTGTGTATTTTTTGTATTTCTTTCTTCTACTTTTTAGTTTTATAAATTTTTTTATTACTTTTACAGATACTACTTCTATAATATATACAGAAATATTTGCACTCTCAGCATTCTTTTGCACAGTTTTCCTGTATCAATTTTACTGTTATTGTTATTTTTACTGTTACCTTTTTTGATTTTTTCTACCCAGCACTGAGAACCTGCAATTACACTTGTACAATGAAAATAAAGCAAATTCCATTCTATTCCATTCTAATTAGATAAGTGTTTCTTTTTTTACAGGCACAAAACTAGTTTTAAAATATTTTTTTCTATATATTTTTTTAGTGAATGATTTCCTTACAAGAAACCCACTGCAGACAGTGTCTGAAGACGTTTTAATTATTTGGTTTAACGCAACAGAATATTCATTAATCCACTGCCACGTTCATCATGTCAGCTGATATGGCTGTAGATCCAGGAGATGAACTTGGTGACCCTGGTGTAGACTCCAGGCAGGTTTGGTCTCCCACAACCGGATCCCCAGCTAACAATGCCAATGAGGAACCAGCGACCTTTGCCTGGGGTCTGACAGGTCAGAGGACCGCCTGAGTCACCCTGGATTAAATCATGAAAAAAAAAATTTAAAATGGGTGTAGTGCAGGGAAACTATCAGCTGAAATGACCTCTGTGGGGAGTGTGGGACCAAAGTCAGGTGTGACCTCACCCTGCAGGCATCCCTCTCTCCTGAGGGGACACCAGCACACAGCATGCGGGATGTGACAGGGCCGTAACTCTTCTTACACTGGGTCTGAGTCAGAATGGAAACCTCTGCTTTCTGCAGAACTGTGGGTAGAACCTTGTCTGAAGGTGGAAAAGACATGGAACATATTTCTTAATGGCAATATTTATAAATATATTTTACCGCTTAAGTATCTCACATTCTGCTCACCCTCCTCTGATTTGTACCCCCACCCAGTCACCCAACAGTGGTGACTCTCCATGACGGTGTGTGATGTGGGAGGCAGACATATGGGCTGCACCAAGGGGCTGAGTGAAGAAGGCCAGGGCTTCTTCAGCTGCAGCAGAGCGATGTCATAGTCAAATGTGTAGGCGTTGTAATACTCGTGCACTACGATTCGCTGGATCTCCGCCACGTATTTGGCACTGCCCTGCGTCAGCATGCCGAGGTGAGCGCTCCACTGACGAGGGTCAGACAACCTGCCGAGAGGACGGAGGTCAACGAGAACAAAGGAAGGTGTTTTAATTATAGTGCGTCTAATAAAACGCCACAACAACAACACGCAGTAAAAGTCAGACTTTACATCATAACTTGTTTTGAGGTTTCTTTGAATCAATTTTGCATTCATTCGCTGGCATAAGATTAGACAGATTAGACTCTCCTCTGACTGACCTGTCCTTGCTGAAACAGTGTGCAGCTGAGATGAGCCATGTGGAGGACAGGACTGAAGCTCCACAGTACAGGCTGCCTGAATAGTGGAGGCTGACCTGCCACGGCCACTCCCCTTCCACAGAGTTCACTCCCCCCACGATGCGCTCCTGTCCACTGGATGAACCCACTTTCTTCACCGGAGAGGGACGACCACAATCTAAGGAGCAGACGGTGACAGGATGTAGCTGTTGTGTCTACTAAAGGCCCAGTTAAATTAACACACAGTACATGTTACTGTAGTGCTGAGGTCATGTCGGAGTGATAGACATATTCGTTGTTTTTTTTTGAATGAGTAAATGTACAGTATGTTCCAGTCCACGCTCCACTGGGTTAGCACCATGACTGACGTTTATTAAAAAAGGAGTGAGTGTTTGCTCCGATGCTGAGAGGGTGATGAAAGACGGGCCTGTTCTTGTCATGATGAATTATCAGTAAACGCAGTGAAACGATCGCCTTCCTGCTGCAGGTCAGCCGGTTAGGAGCTCACTGTCCACTGGTTTATACAATAACAAAAGCACAGCCACACACAGGAGGTGGACACGGTGGTGGTTCTATAAACAAGCTGAGTTTAATATCCTGGTGGATGTGTTGTGTTTACTGCCATCCTTTATTCTTAAAGTTTTGACTTCCTTAAGGTTAATTTGTCAACTCCCACTTTGTTTTGAGTTATTTAACTGAACAGCAGGTATTATTATGTTTTTGTTACTCTTCTACTCATATGTGGCAAGTAATCCATCATAAAAATCACGTTTAAAATGCATAAATATACACAACAGGATTTGTAAATTTAACGGTGGTTGTAATGGTGATGTGCACCGTTGTATTCAGGGTAAAGACTAAAATGTTTACTAGGTACATGTGGGGCTCACCACAATCTGCCTCGTCACTCTGGTCCGCGCAGTCGTGGTCACCATCACATTTGGCGTTCTTCTTCAAGATGCAGGAGCCGCTGCTGCAATGGTACCTGATTTCAGAGCAGGTTGTTTCTGTCAAAAATAAAGACAAAGTTGTAATACGTGTGAATTCTCAGATTAAACAATATATCATTACGATACGATAATGATTAATCGCAATTATTATGATCTTAATTACTCATGATTAATCTAGTTGAAACAACATTCCTAAATCAGTCGGCTAGACAGCCATTGACTGACTCACTGCCCTGCCCTGAGGCTGGTCACATATGGCCTGAAGTTGAAGCCTCCACAAACACATGCTGAGTTCTAATAAAACTCCATACCCTGTGTGCAGTTGAGCTCATCACTCCCATCAGTGCACTCTTTCTCTCCGTTGCACATAAGCAGAGGATGAGGAGGATGTTGGACTCCACACTTCATGGAAGGCCTCGCTGCCAGAATATGAACAAACATCTTCAAACATGGGCCTCGGGAACTCGGGAAAATAAATAGTTTTTATTGCGCGATGTGTGATTGTAGGAATTTCATTAATGATTAATGAAAAAAAAGGAAAACTTTTGACGGATGACACATACAGCAGAAGACCTCGTCGCTCTCATCCTGGCAGTCATCTAGACCGTCACAGCGGCGGCTCTTCTCCACACACAGACCAGTGGAGCACAGGAAGTGGTTCTCGGGACAGGCTGAGAGAAAACAACCACGTTCAGTTTGTCTCTGCTAAGTGTTTTTACTATTGTCAGAAACAAACTCATTAACCCACATTCACAGTCAGTACAATGAAACAGCTGCGGTCACTTCCTCTACAGCGTGACTCATGTTCTGTTCTGTTCTGCTGCTGCTGCTTACGTTGGCTGATGTTGTAGCTGCTGTAAGTGGCCTGAAACGGCGGAGCGGCGTTTCGAGAGCTGCAACGGAATTCCACTGCGGGACTATGGTGTGAGATACGAAACACTGTGCTGTAACCCACGTAGCTGCCGCAGAAACTGAGGGAGAAGAACAACCTTCATAACAGGATGTTGTTGTAGGATGGACATGTAGGACAAAATATAAATGTGTCCAACATAAGTTACAACTATAAACTCTGACTGATCACATCCTGGACATATATTGCATAAACCATTGCTTTTAAAGGGACCACTTTATTCATACGTACATGACTTCATTAATCTTCCACCAGCCGAGGTCACAGCCGTTCATGTCTTTTGGTTTTAGTGCATAATTCTGGAACTGCAGTGCCACTCCGAAATCCATGTGAGAAGTCTGGATTTAAATAAACACACGAGATAGAGACATCTTCAAGTAACACTTTGTATAAAAAAAAAAACAAAAAAAGAAAAGAAAAGCAGGCTGAAATTTACCGTAAATGTCCAGAGGCAGTAGCACTGAGGGGGCAACAGGCTGGGGTGGAAGGGGCTGTAGATCTGCTGACTGTCGTCAGGCTCCAACTTTGTCTCAATTTGAGACATACAAACTGAATAAAAAACAAAACCAGAGATACTAAAAAATCATTTTCCTTTAAAAGTTCCCTTTAGTCTAATATTTTCTCTTTTCTTAGTAGATGATAAAATGGTTTAGATTTAGTAAACAGGTAAATGTGCCGTACCTTCTGCAGCTATGGCCTCAAAGTGTCCTCTGAAAATCTTGTTGCCACTTGTCATCCTAAAGGACAGCAGCATGACATTGGACGTAGAGACCAGAGACAGGGACATAGACACTGCTTCACACAGCCTGCAGAGTAAAAAAATAAAAAAATAAAAAAAATTTACTTCAGTTCAATTGATTTCTCTTAGACGTCAAAGTCTTTGCTCAGCACACACACAGAAAACTGTGGTTCAGAGACAGCTGCACACTCACCTGTGGAGAATGCGCCCTCTCATGGGCAGCAGAGCATCGTACACAGTCAGGGCATCGTTCACACAGTCAGTGGGCTCAATGAGAAAACTGGTGATGGTCAGACGGATAAGAGAGCCGGGGACAGCGGTGAGCTTCAGGTGGCAGCTCAAACCTCCCCAGGATGAAAAGATGTTTAAAGGGACTTTTGCACCAGGAAGGTTGGCGTACATCTTATCTACACACTGTGACCCTGAGAGAGGAACAATGGGGGGTGGGGGGGGACACCAGTCAGAGAAACACAACACTGTTATCCATTCATAACTGAAACATTTTCTCCCTACCTGCTGAGTTTGATGAGTAATCTGAGCGCTGAACAGCTGCAGGAGGACACAACAATCAGACTCAGCCCTTTTTTTAAACACACACGGGGGAAAAAAACACAGGTGACACACCGTTGATGAGGATGGAGTCGATGTCCACCGGCAGATTCAGCAGGTAGCCCACAGAGGTTCTGTTCTTCAGGCTCGTCTGGACCGAGTCTCTGAAGATGACGCTCACACATTCCTCACACATCACTGGGCTCTTTATATGAGGAACCACAAACAGCATCCAAAAATGTACCAGCACACCGCCATCACTGTTACTGGATGGAAGAGAAAAACACACAGGGCATGGTGTGAGGGGTTATAATTAAAACAAATAATTATCATCTGTGTTTGGCCTCACGGTGTTGATGACTAACAGGCCACTGTACCTGAGGTCTGAGATGACAGTGTACTTGTGCAGTTTGCCCACTGAGGACATCTTGTACACACTGGTCACCTGGGGCAAACCAACAATTATCACTGAGGCTCCCTCAGCTTTAACATTTACCACTGTACAAATAACAGAGCTCACACTGACACATACCACATGCTGTATTTTGCTCGCCATTGACACAAACTCCACAGACTCGGTGTGCCTGTACTCTGGGATATACTCCACGTTGGCCAGACGAAACATCCCAGCGAAATATGCCACGCTGTTGCTTTCTCTGCGGACTACAGAAATCAAGACAAATGTCCATGATGTGTTGCAGTAAAATGAAGAACAAAGTATAACAAAGAAAAAATATAGTTAGGAAAACCTGCCCTTCCTGTGGGGTGGATAGTTATTGCGATTGGAGGACACAGGAACATGATATGGCTCACAATTTTGTTACCTAGTCTTAGGCACAATAACACTAAATTTGATCCATTGTATGTTAAATGGTCACGTGTGGCTCAGGAACCACAGGTTGCAGACCACTGCTCAACCTAAACCATTGATTTTGGTAAAGTTTTAAAAGACATTCTTGTTACAGTGAGACATTATTCTGTAGCGCCGCTGAACTGTGAAACATCTATTGTACTTACATATGAAGACCCATAGAAGGGACCACACAATGACCACCACCACAAAGATGACTGCTGCGGTGATGATAGCCAGATGACGGATATTTAACAGGTAGGCCAACAGCCTCTGGAGTCCCTTGGGCTTCCGTCTGCTCTTCCTGTATCTTCTGTAAAGATTCCGTAGTGTGTGGTCCACAGTGGCCACCTCCACGGACACGTCTGCGATCTGTGGCCAGGGAGCAGGGACACATTCATGCTCTAATCATAAACACAGTACCATTATTGATGCAGTAAATCAAAGTTGACCTTTGAGAAGGTCATCTCAATGTGGGCCCAAGTCTGACAAGCATGAAATTAATGATGCAAAAATAATACGAGAACAAACTGAGAACGGTGATTCCTGACATTCTAGACGCCTCGTTGACTGTAAGAGGCACTCGGATTTCACCACCGAGGCTGATAGCATCTGCCCTATCCAGGTCATTTGGTTTATATATTATAATAGGCACATGGTTGACAACTAATCCAAGTAGGCCAGACTTGAGGCCGTGTTAGGAAAGACAACGCATTCATTGGAAACGACCGGAGGCACGAATGTCCCTAAAAATTAAGCACAGGATTGAATCAAAAGAACTGCCTCAGTTGTTTGTAATGGAGCACTGGTGGTGTATGGTGGTGGATTTATCTGCAGAGAACTGCACCTGGATGAAAACATTTACTGGTTTCACAAATAAAAAAGAAAAGAAAACAGTAAGCGTATCTGAAATCTGAAGAAAAAAACCCCCAAACATTTACATTAATTTACACAATAACATTGAGTGAAACCATGTGGTGATGGACAGTACATTGTAATCTTCACAAAAATGGTGACATTTTGCTGGTAACCCATCAGGAAGGTAGAAGCTTGTCCAGGTTTTTCAGAAGATGCTCCATAATGGACCGCTTTAGCTCCTGAAGAGAAGGACTCAAAGAAACACTAACTCCATCCTATTCAACATTCTACACTCATTGAGTTACCTCATGTATATATATTATTCATACAGTGTCATCCCATACTGCGCCAGTGGCTCTTAATCTACCATGTGTATAGATGAGTATAGATTCATAGAATACACAAATATTCACAAAAAATTCAAATAAAATACAATATCAAACCATAAATGTGACTGAAAATACGTTCTATTCCAATTTTATTAAATGTGCCAAATATTAGTTTTTTGGGGTTTAATAAAATTTTTGTCAAAATTTTACTTGTAGTCACGATAGAAGAAAACAGAGTTTAGAAAACGTATAACTCACACTTGCGACATCCTGTTGAGGTGTATCATCGACTGCGCTCGCCTGCTCATTCTCCTGGTTCTCCAGCTGCTCTGTGACCATGACACATCAAGCATTCATCATCTAAATCCTGATGTTTGGCTTTTCAGCTCCATACTCTTCCTTCAGGGGAAACACTGCCGCTACTAACGTCCAGAAGCAGAAGTTGTAAATTATGGTGTAAAGCCACACAGCACACAGCGGCTGGATGCACATTGACAGGTGTGTGAAACCAGATCCTTCAGCACAGACAAGCAGTTGAGATACACTGAAGGCTATGCACCTCCTCCAGTCCAGTGGCTTATGTTTCATTGCCTTACCTCTATCGCTGACTTAGTCACAGGAACCGATCTTCAACAGCCAAGAAACAAACACCGACATGGAGTAAATTAAGTGACCAAATGCCTTCAAATCCTTAAAAGGGACAACATTATCATTTTGTTGGAACAAGGGTTTGTTTTTATTTACAGCGTGGGTTAGTTAAATTAGCCTCTGGCTGTTGGTGCACAGAGCTTACAGGCTCTCAGCAAAAAAAAAAAAAAAAGACAAGAAAAAAAAAAGGTTCCAGCCTTTTTAAAACAACCTTATTACTAAATGTGTCAGTGTAAAAGCAGAAGAAGAATCATTGTCATAATTGGGAATAAAAACATATCAGCTGGAATTATTAAGACAAAGAGAGGAAGGGTCTCGTGGTCCTTAGTGAGCAGCATTTTAAATAGACAATAAAATGAACAGAGTCACTATTTTAACACTTCGTGCTCCACACAAAAGTCAGACACTCAACTTCAATGTGCAACAAAAACAGAGAGAGAACAACATGAGGCACACAGACGAAACAGGATAGTACATTCACAGACTTAAAAGTACATGGAAACACAAAAATAAAGTGTTCTTTGAGTCTTCAGGACAGTTTTCTGTCAGTGTTCTCTGCTAACAGACACACGGACAAACGCGGACGGGAAGCCAAGGCCTCATTTCCTGAAAAAGGTGTTGCGAGCGATGCTGTGCAGCAGGTGGTAAGGCTTTCGTTTCGGGGGCTCGGCCAGCGTGAAGACTTGCTGCTGAGGGACGCTGGTTGGAATGGTGATGTGGCGCTGGTGAAGTGGGTGCAGGTTTTGTTGGTGTGGAGGGACAGAGCCCGAGTAGCTGATGGCTAAAAATGTCAACAACCCAGGTAAAAAATGTCAAAATGTGAACAGAGTAAAGTTTGTTTGTGTAGGTAGTATATGGAAGAATTTCCTAAATATTTTGTTGAATCATGCATATTTTTGTAATGTAACTTTAACATAATTACCAGAGAAAATTATTAATTTCATGGCAGTAAAGCTATTAATCAAACAATTAACAGATGACTATCAGCTAAATACATTTTATTATGACAAATTAAGTAAAATACTCTTCTTACACTTGGCCTTCCCATTTTTGGCTCTTCTGGCATTGACAATGGCTTGTTTTCTCTGCTCTTCACTGATCTCCATTCCTGCAAAAGAATCACACAAAAATACACCTTCAGGTCAAAATATGTCCAAAGACCCCGTTCTTCAGCAAACACCCCCTCCTTCAGCAATCTTTCGTACTCTGTTCACCTTTCATCTGACTTCTATTCACAGTAGCAGTTTTGTATGAAGGAGCAGGAGACGCTCCAGCTAGACTCACCCATCTCCTGGTCTTCTTTGACTCTCTGTCTCTCCTTGGCAAAAGCTTCTAACCACCTCTGCTTGTCCTGGGCCTTCCTGCAGCACAACGCACACACAAATTCCAGAGTAGAGGCATGACGCAAACGCAGAGCGTTCCTCAGGGTCAGGCCCAGGTCTGGGTCCCGCCCGTCGGGAACGTCCACCACCTCTGTCTGGTCCATGTCCAGGAGTCCTCGGTAGTGGAGCAGGTCTCTACGCAGCACATCTTTTTTACAGAAGACCAGCTGGTGGTCAAAGAGGAAGAAGCTGCGCTGCTGCATTTTTCCCTGTCTGATGATACGAGTAAGCTCTCCAGAGTGGATTAGCTCTGAGCTACGCTCCAGCACATCAGGCCCCTGTGGAGATGCACAAACGGAAATTTAAAACACACAGAGAGTCAAATGACTGTAATCCAAGACCTTTCAAACCTGAACAGGTTTGTATTTATGTGTCATGATCACCTGCCAGTGCAGAATGGCAACCTGCCAGTGAGCGATGGCATCGACACTCTCCAACCGTCTCTTCCTCTCATTTATCAGACTGGCCACATTCTTCATGGCTTCATAAGCTTCACTTACTCCAATGAAGTCACTGCATCAAACAGACACGGTCGACCACAGAGATGAACAAACAATAGAGATTAAATTAATTTTTCAACTTTAGCATTTCATATATTGTTGTCTCATAAGCCTATTAAAAATAATTTGTTTTGCTATACTTGTTATAAAACAATTTAGTCTCAATCAATTAATTAGTGCACTACCTGTGGTCTTTTGGTGTGTATTTGAGAAGTTCCCCGAGCTGCAGCGGGTATTTACAGATCTTCTGGACAGCGGTCAGCAGAAAACCAGCGATGGAAATGTCAATCATCTGCTGTAGAAGCCGACAGGCCTCAAAAAAGTGTTTATATCGGCCCGACTTCATGAGGCGATGCAGCTCAGCACAGGCGGCTGGGTGGGTGTTACAGTACTCGGAGTAAATGGAGAAACCTTCACCCTGAGGAGAAGAGCATAAACTTTCAATCCCAGCACAGGCAGCTACGTGATATACAACATCAATAAGGTCAAATGTGACATCACCTGTAGGAGAAAACAGGAGCCTATTTCACTGAGATGAGGTTGACATTTGTTGTACTTCTTCTCCAGGTCTCTGAGGAACTGCCTTTGGAATTTGTAGATGTCTTCAATGTTGCTGAAGATGGTTTTCAACTGCAGCTCGGTAAACATTTCTGGGTGTTTACGACACTGCCGAATGTAACCCTGAAAACAAACATCAGTATATATTTAGGATGAGGATTTCAGAAAAAAAAAATAAATCAACAGAAGTTTACATATTATATGTCAGAGGTTCCAAAATGTTAGCTATTTTTAGTTCCTATTCATATTGCTAACTGCTATTTCAACTGGACAAGGAAATAATATTACAAGTAACATTAGTGCCATGCCCTGAGAGTGGAAAAAAAAAAGAATTGCATTCTCTCACAATAGCTGCCTGGCCCACAAGAGGAACGACCCCACATTTTGGGAACCAGCAGTGAATAAAGTGGTGTATTTGTCTTGAAAAGACGTTTATTTAACAAGAATGTATCTGATTTCCTTCACAGATGTATTATAATAATGACTACACCCATCATCATCTCCCAATTATTTTTTAATAATCCTGAGATTTTTCTACTTCTTGGATTACCTTTGAAACTCTACATAAGTCCTGAAATATTTGCCACCAAAATAATGCAAAACAATACTATTCCATAACCTTGAATATCCTAGAATACTGCACAGAGGGTTTTAAAGAAACAGAAATGATAAAAAAATGACCTATAGATATAAGGCCAAAAATAAAATCTGTAAACTAAATTAATGATTACATGAAAAAAGCTAAATATCAAAAGTAATAATCTGTTACTGTTCTCCAGTTTACATGTCCCGCACAACAACAAATCCCATCCAATGGTTTTTGTGTAAACTTTATTGTATGTTTTTTTTCCATGTAAAAGGGAAATAGATAAGATGTTGAGGCTCATACTTCACAGATGTCTTTGAGGTGTTTGATGTAGATGCGTTCAGTGTTCATGATTTCCTGAACCACATTGGTTCTCATCTGCTCTCTGTGCTCAGCACTGTGTGTGTCCCTGGGTGTCGGATCCTCCTGATCTGCAACACTCTCAACACTCTCTGCGCTGGAGTCCTCCTGGTTCACTCGCACCTGAAAACCATCCACCAAAAATACAGTAGAGACTCATGAGTCACAGGGAAAGTCGAACACACACAAGTGAGAATACAACAAAGAGACAAAGTTAGGGGAACTGTTTTGATTGATTGATTGTTTTACAGTGACTCAAAAGTTTAACGATTTATTTAAAGTTGACACCAAATCCAACACCTCCATAAACAGCGACTCATCTGGGAACACACACACACAGCTGATCCCTATCTGCCAAATAATGAGCTCAGTGTTGTGAGGCTGATTAAGACACAGCTGTCAATCAGCTCCAGTCACCACAGAAACCACCACCAGGCCATTTGAGGCTGGAAGTCTTTCACAAACATCATTTAGTTAGTGGGTCGCTGAGGTTTGTTTGGAGCTGAGCCATTTTCTTCTTCTGCTCTGTCAGAGAGCAAACATGTGTCAGACACATAGATCAGAAAGTCCACTTACCCTGACAAAGCTGGAGGGGAACCAGGCCACCCTGTCAGACCCCTTGCCCCACCACCAGTCTGTATGCGCGGCATCCAGGACGCAGATAACGTCTCCAGCCTTAAAGGCCAGTTCCTGCTCCTCCATGGTCACATGGTCCCAGAGAGCCTCAGCATACACTGTGTGTCCTGACCTTATCCACTGAGTTACAGACACACACAGAGATTAGATAATGATGGAACAGCATTCTAGCAAAACACAGAACAAACATGCAGGAATACATTGAGACACATGGATACCAGTGAGGTCTGTTGTGCTGAACTGAAGTCAAACATCTTGCAAACAAACATAGTACTTTCACATGGCTGTGTGCAAGAAACGCATACACCAACAACCATGCTGCATCATAAATTTGATGTGCATTCCTCAGAGAAGATGTTCAGTGAAGTGTTGCAACATGACAAGTGAGTCACCCTCTTCACCCCACCCTCTTCGCCTCACCTCATTGAGCACAGAGATCTCCACCCCTGGCTGGAGGTAGGGCGTGACATCAGCGAGCTCATCAAAGCTGCCCTCCTCCTCCTCACTCACGCTGTCGTCAAATGTTGCCGAGCACTCAGACATACCATCTGTAAAATGTGTACAGGGGTTAGAGAGAGAGAGAGAGAGAGATTTAACAAACTTTAAACTACACTCTCTTTCCAAATGGTTTAAGTTCCTAAGGTGTCTATCAGTGAAGGAAGTGATGTTTGTCTGTTTTCTGATTGGCCAATAAAGGCTACAAATACATTGCCCCCTGTTGTCTGGGCATTGCCATTGACACCATCACAGTGCTATTGCTTTTTGTGGACATAGGAGAACCACATTGTGGAAAAACTAGCCAATGTGCTTGCCTTACAGCAAAAAGGTCAAGGTACAATCCCCAGTCCTTTTCGAAAAAACTAATTAATTTTTTTTTATTTTTAAATTAATCAATATAATGCTCTTTTTTAGAAAGTTCTGACTAATCCAGAGGAGCCACAGCTGTAAGAACGCCCACATTTGGCTCTTGACCAACATTTTCCTCCAACACACAAATTAAAATTCCATTACTCAAAAAAAAAAAAGTCTAATCCTGTGTCACTCTCACCACTGAGCACTCTGTGCAGCTTTCGTCGTCCCACACGATCCAGTCCGATGGGAGTGCTCTGGGAAAGTGCTGAGGGGCGAAACCTGGCAGACACTGCTCTGTAAGGGGGCACCTGGTGGGAGGGGATGGGCGGTCGGGACTGGGGCTACAGGAAGGGCAACAGGAGACATCCTGAGATTTTGAAAATGCCTAGTTTCTCACCATTACAACCAACAAATTAGACACAAACACAGCTGACAAAAAAAAATGCGAGTTGCAGAGTTTGAGTTAGTGAGTGCAGCTGTGGATATGTGGATAGCTGATTGATAGGAGGAGAAAACATTAACCTAGAATGCTGGAGGCCAAAAAAAATTATTTCTGGTAACCTCTGGGAAACATACACCAATGGAGAGGTGAGCTCCACCTGAGGGGAAACTGTAAACAAGTGTTCTGTGTACGATGTAACAAATAACCCTATATAAGTACAGTTGGTACTAAAGTCACACTACAGGATACAGAAAATATGTAGAAGGTTTTAGAAGAAAAAATAAATATAATTTTTATAGATGTCTGTCTCTTGTTTGCAGACACAGGAAGATTATGAAAAATGTTTCTGAACATTTTTTCCCCAGAAAAGTTAATAATTACACTAAATTCATGTGGTGAGGGCTAGAAAGAGGGGCAGGATCAGCTCAAAGCCAAGTATTTTTTTGCAACTTCAAAATGGAACAGAACTTTAACCGCAGACCACTTGTTGCCCTAACAATAACAAACTGCCATTACTTAGTTATTCAAATGTGAATTGAACAGCTCAGTTCATTCTATACTTTGATTTAACTGCTGCCTCAGACATGCTGGTCATGTGTTGCCTGTCCTATGTTCAATGTGTCACCACTAGTCATAAGCTAAATGTATTACTGTCCTGCAACACAGGAAAACACTACCTTAAAGACCTAATTAGCTGACAAGAAAGAAACCTACTATTGTCCGTGTCTAATTGGTGGCCGGTGTAAACCTTGTCATGTCACATTTTCATTAGGTACAGTGTTAAAGCAGCTCACAGAGGGGAGGCGATCATCCTTCTCCTCAGCATCAGCGGGAAACACATCTGTCGCTCCGATCACCGAGACTGGACGGAGCCTCCTGCACTGGATCTCCCCACTTGCACCACAGTTCTCAGGGTTCTCTCCATTCCCACAAGTGTCTTTATCACTGCAGTCGGTGTGCATTGATGTGCTGTCTGTTCTTTGCTCAGCACTCAGCTCCACTGCCTCCTCAGGAATGCAGTTCCTTCTGGAAATAAGTTGCCCGTAGTCAGAAATGGGTCGAGGTTTCGGTCGCCCACTCCTTCTCCTGGGTTTAACAGAGGATATTTCTGCGGACGTCGGGGTCCCATCTGTGGAAGATGACGTGAGTGATGTGGGCGACTCCAGGAGGTTTGTCGGTGAAACAGGAGGTGTGCTGTTGCTGGTTGTAGAGTAGAGTTCATCTGTTTGGAGGAGTGCTTCTCGCACTTGTTGCTCTGATGTTTCCTAGCCATAAAAACAAACACAACATCTTAGAACGGCTGATAAAATGTAAAGTTTGTGTAAAATGCATAAAACATATGAACATACGATATGAAAAAAAAACCAAAACAAATATGAAAAATTAATAAAAAAAAAAAAAACAAAACATGGAAATAACATCTGGTAACAAGGGCAGAAAAAAAGATGCTGCCAGTCATAAATAGAAACAAGTGTCACGGTTGGCATTCAGCACAGAACCACAGGAATTAGTGTGAAACTCTTCCAAATCACTTTTGCTGGATTCTCTTGAGGAAAATGATTAGTGGTTCAAAGTTCACACAATGATTCACTCAGTGCACTGAAAATAAATCAAGCCCTTTTTGTTTATCAGGCACAAACTGTGACAGTGTACTCAAAAATCAGAAAAATACACAAAATTCTCAACTTAGTGGTTAAACATTGATCAACAATCACTGAAAAAAATTGACTAAAAGTCCATTAATCGGCCAGTCATGTCAAACCTCACCTCTTGGTTGTCTCGATCTGAGTCTGGTCTTGAGCATATACACTGGAAAGGCACACAGTGGACCAGCACCATCGTGAAACCCAACCAAACAGACCCGTCTCTGTCCCCAAGGCCAGGTCCCTGAGGTCAATAAGAACCACTAGCTCTCTCAACTTCACTGATCTGATTTTTTTTTTCAAATTATCTCCACAAACAAACACTTTGCCTGAAGCCAAACCAGATTTCTCTGTAACAGTTTGCTTGTAATCCTGGATGCCGGCTGGTGCTGCAGCTCCTTGTCCTAGGCCCCGTGTCCATGGTGGTGGACTTTGTCCCATGGTGCTGCAACCAGAAGTACTGATGCAGGCGATGAACTCAGTCAGAGCCACCAACCCTATCACAGCACCAGGACCGATTTGCGCAATGCCCACTAATCATAAACAAAGCCTAATGATTAACTCTGTCTGTTCCTTGAGCGTGCCTGTTCGCACAGAACAGCTGGCCTCAGCATGTGATGACGATCTAGACGACTTTTATGTAACACAAAAACATTTGAGTGGAAAGAAAATACTCTTTTTTAACACAATTTTAAAGCAAGTTGAATAACGACTGTGGTCAATTCTTACTGTAATTAAACAACTTCAAAATGCTCTCCTTTAGAGAAGGGTCAACGTCATCTCAAAGACTGGCATCTATTAATGATTACGCCTTCTTCGTGATAAGGAGGAGAGTAAATCTTCCCTCTGTCTTTCATCCTTCCTTCCTCATTTAAAGACCAAAGAACCCTCGTCTTCCTAATGATTTTTAATCATGTTGGTCTATTTGCATTGATAAAGGCTGCTTATGTCAAAATGTAGGTAAAAATCTTTAGTCTTTGTTTTTTCTTATGGGTCCTCATTAATAATTCTCCTAATTTACATCACCATCCTCAAACAAGTCTGTATCAGTGCAACTGGGATAGATTTCCTTTGCAGATTTCTGAATATGAAAAAAAAACATTGTTATATTTGTTCCGTAACCTTGTGAATTTCCGTATCTTTCAAATAAAAATCAGTTCTTATCCTCCATTTACATCCAACTACTTAGTTTTTTGACCATCAAAACAGATGATCCCAAATGTCTTCAGCAAACTATGGTCTCTAAAAAACCATTATTATACTTAAAAAGATAGATATAAGTGTCTGAACATGTGAAATTATGCTCCTATGCATAATTTGAGATGTATCGAGGGCCAAAGTGCAACAGATCCCAGTATACATCTCGGCCCATGTTCAAAAATGTAATGCACCGATTTTTTTTTTAATATATACTCTTACCTTGTATAAAATGGACTTGGCTTCAGTTTGCTCCTCTTGTAAATGTTCTTTTTGGCTGTGTGCAGAAGAATCACCATCTGTCAACTGTTTGCAGCCACTTGTTGTGGCTACAGCCAGTGTATCATAGTGATCCGAGGCAACGGCAGAAGGCTCTGTTCTCCCTGGGGGATCTGCAAAAACCGGGCTAATCAGGACCTGGTGCTCCTGAGAGTTTGTGTAATTATCAGACTGATGGTGATGAACCAGCAGCATCCGATCCACAGACATGACACGGGCTCTGACAGGCGAAGGCCGGCGGTGCCTTTCTGTGGTTTGCAGGCAAGGCACACGACGGGAGTAGTCATCATGTAAACGACATAAGGGCGACATGGATGTGGGGCTGGGGGAGGGACATCCCCTGCGTCGGACAGTTAGGTCGGTCATGCTGCCTACAAGCTTCAGCATTGGGCCCTTGGTTTTTGCAGGGCTTTTTCTGCAGTTAAAACTTCGAAGGTCGACTGAGGAAGCGCTGGCTGTTCTCTGGATATTTGGTGTACCGTTTGATGGTGTAGTACCGTGGGTTTCCTCCTCCGGTGAAGGAGAATCTGGAGACGTTGCTTTGCGTTTGAAAGGTGTCTTAAATATATGAAGGTTTTCGGCACTTTTGCTCATTCTGTTCATCACCTTAACATCTTGGTGATGGTTCGTGTTTTTTGTTTGTACATTGTACTTCGATGACAGATCTGGTTTCTGAAAATCTGCAGCTTCCTTTGAGCAGCTTCCAGAACTTCTCCTTTTTCCAGTATCACACAAAGAAATGCGTCCTGCGCCATAGGCTCTCTTGATGCTCCGTGAGACTCTAGAGTTCCGCGTTAGAGAAGATCCGTCATTTTCATCCTCATCGTAGTCGTCAATATCTGACCCGTACTGGCTCACCATGGATAACGTCTGCTCAGTATAATTTCCATTAGACACATGGCCTTGTTCTGATTTTTTGAAATGACTCGTTCCATTCTCTAGACCAGCGTCTGTGTTTTCCATAACTGCACCATTAGCCATTTCCTGGTGGGATGAAATCTCTTGATTTTCGAGATGGTTTGCTGCTCCCTTACTCTGAATTCCCTGGAGCACTGATGAGCGAAGCTTTTTGAAGGAGTCCATAACACCCAGTCCAGCAAGTCCTGACCAGGACTGGGAGCCACTGTTGCTATCGTTGCTTAGAACTGAGGTGGGACTTTCAGCAGTAGGACTGTGAGCAGGAATAGAACCCTTTCTGGGGTTGGAGAAAAGCCTCATTATTCTCGAAGAATAAGGCTTTCCTTCAGGGTGACCTATAACTGGGTGGGGCCAAGCAGCAGAGTTGATGCCATTCAGTTTGTTTTCATCAGGAACAGGTACCGATGTTATGGGCTCTACCTGTGTTTCACATCCAGATAGCAAATAGGGGACGGCACTACTGTCACTTTGATATGGATACAAATCACTGAGGGGTCGCCTTCGGATCAACGGGGCAGCTGTGTGCAGGCATGGCAGAGGGTCTTCGCTTGTTGACAAGCCTCTGTCACTTTGTTCTGCCTGTAAAAAAAAACAGAATGATTTTTTCAGTATATATATTTATATATAAGTAAGCAAGAGGACAATATATATTTATATCTTGTATTCGTACTCAATACATGTATTGATGCTTAGTAGTTAAGAGAAAAAATAAATCGAAAAAAATCTCTCTGCACAGGGTAGTGAGACGTTTTTAATTTTTCACGACAGGCATTTTGTCCTTGGTGCCTAAAAGCACTGAGGCCCAGTTTGGGGTGGTCTTGTGTGTGTGTGTGTGTGTGTGTGATTCTGAGAAGTGGTTGATTCAGCTGAAACTTTGAAGCTTGCCCCTTTGAGTGTGACTAAGCATTGAACTTTGCTAATCCACTGTGATTAATTCAATAAATTGTCCAGCTTTCTAAAGAGTGCTCCACAAAGAAGTGATATGAGGTGAGGAGAGCTGTGATCACTGGTTTAGTCAAACCGTTTGACCCTTTTCGTTGGTTACACAGTGTTCTGACTTCCTGTCTGGAAACTGTAGATGTGCTACTGTTTGGTTGTTTTCAGTTTCTCAGTAGATTGACTGGTTAATCATAGCAGGGAAAAAGTCCAACAGTCCTTATGTTGGTAAAGAGTAAAATTTGAGTTTTGAAATATATATATATATATATTCATTCTTTTTTTATTTGACAGTGAACTACTGGCTTAAATGAAAGTGTATTTTTAAAAATTGTTAATGCAAATAATTTAGATTTACTGCACTAAAAAATGTTTTTCAGAGACTAAAACATCTGTGAATGATTTTCTTTCCTTCTGTCAGAAGGGCTTCATTTATCTATCATACATAAAAACAAACTCTTCTTTGCCTCTTCTGCAAAGAGGGTGATTTACTAAAATTATGTTGCACAGCCAAAAAAACCCAAAACAAAACAATCTGGTGATGGTCAGTGGAAAAACTGAAAACGTAACAATGTAAAGTAAAAAACTACAGAACTAATAAAACAGTCTTTAGTTGGTTAGTTGGTTTTACTATGACTTCAATTGAAGAAGACGACAAATGTGTTGAATTTGTAGAACTGATTTTTGTAATGTTTCGGCACACTTTGTTCCTGAGACATTTTTGGATTTGAAGGCAGCATCATATGGTGCGTGCACATGCCGAGAATTGGAACGCTCCCACACGTCCTATCCTTATGCATGTTCAGCAGCAGATGGGCTTCCTCTGTGGAATCAGCTGTCACTTCAACCCGCTCGCTCCATCACACTGAACTCTTATGTAAACACAGAGCCACTGCTGCCAAGCACCGCTGCTGACAGACAGTAAACACCCGACTTAAACAATGTGCTGCTTTCAAGGCACTGCTGAATTGTCTTCTTGTACTTTCTTCCCTCAGTCACAGAGGAATTACACTGAGTTGCAACCATACACAGGCAAAATATCTTCAACACCATCTGTTTTCAAAGCAGAAAGATGGCAGATAAGCTTAACATTTCTAAAGCTCAGGATGTTTATTTGTTTCTAAATGCCTTCTAATCAGCATTTCTATCAGCGATGCCATCTTTCTAAACACCTTTACATGTTTTCCCCCTCATACTCGCGCCAACTGTCACAGGCATCTACTTCTACTTGGCAATGCAATGATGGAATTAGGTGACATTCATGGAAAATGAATTATTCTGAATAACAGCCTGTTGCGTGTACACACAAGTCATAATCAGAACAGTTGAATTCTGTGTTTAGGTAAAACATTCATTTTGAACATCTAATTGTCATGACAATTTTCGGATTAAGGTAATTTGGCAAATGTAAACGTAGCCATTGTGCATGTTTTTTTCTGAAATTTTCGGAAAGCACCTCATAATAACCAGTTTCACTAAACCAAGTCTGCACCGCTGTGTCCTTAATCACAAAAAGCAGCGTCTCCAGTAAGACGCAACTTGAACTGAACTGAACAGCTATTCCATTCTTCAGCACATTTTTTACTTAATTAAAGGAAAACATGACGCAAGCAAAAATAAAGTCTGCGTTTAAAGGTACTGGGTCAACAACTAAGCATGCTAAATACAACCGGGCAAATATTACTCACGTTTACTTTAATGTACATCAACAAGCAGTCGGCAGAATACTTTTAGTCTCTCTCAGTACAGCAATCCTGACTGCTGTTCCCCAGCTTGTGGATGGGAGCGGCACACAGGGGGCCCAGGTCCAGAGTTAATTAAGAGCTCAGGGAGGAGTCACCCTCTACAACCCCCCCAACACACCTCACCTCCCCCTCCACACACACATTGCAGCCAGCTAGAGCCAGCCTGAGATTAGACTCTGAGCAATGAGGATGAACATTTACCAAAATTCATAAACATGCATACAAGAGCTAAAAGCAAGCTAAAAAAAACACTGTGGCGAATACTGACAGGATCCTCCAAAATAGTATACACATGGTTTCCCCCGCCTACTGCATGTGTGTGCATGTTTCGATCTGAGCAGGGAGTAAGGTTTTAAGGCACAGACTCCCTTCCTGTTTGGTTAGAAAACACTGGCCGTTACATAAGGACTCATAAATGCAAGGAGATAACCTCCTGACTATAGTTTACCTCTCCAGAGGTATTTTCTACCTGAGGCTAGGATAAAGGTCATTAGGCCAAAATGAACATAGTATTTACTTTAAGACCACCAGACTTGCAACATCCAGAAAAAAACAAAACAAGACTTCAGGTCATGTCTGCTGTCCTGTTGAAACCTGAATCAGTCTTATATTTGAAGACCACCAGATAGGGGGAATCAGGAAAAGGCACAAAACAAGTGGTGAATGTGAATGTATGGCACAAAACGTAATATTCAAATTTCTAATCTCTAAAAAATCTCCTTAACATCAATGCTTGTCAGCTGGCTTTACAGCCCCTTTTCCAGGCAAAGATTAAAAGTGTCGGCGAGGAACAAAACTTCTGAGTGAGGGGACTGGTGTGTAGGAGTTGGAGGGAGTGTGTGTGTGTTTGAGTGAGTGAACGTATGCCCTGTTCTTCTTCCTTGGCAGTATTAATCTGATTAGCAGAGCTCTACCAGTCTGTGTGCAGGACTGGTTTCATCTACACAAGATAGCCTAATCAGGGAGACAACCGGGCTATTCAGTACTGAATGTGGGTGACACCAAAGACTTGCAAAAAGCCCACCAGGACTTGACTGTGGAGGGGGGGGGGGGCAACTCTGCCTCAGTGTGTTTTATTGTATCAGAGTAAGAAATAAACATTGCCATCACATTAACATATGTGTTGTCGAATGAATTATATTTGTAATTATTTTAAGACATACCATCCTCTACGTGACTATTTATAGCGCAAGTCTGCACAGAAATACCTTTTACTATCAGGTGAGCAAACAGGCTGTTCCAGGTTAAAATCTCACATTTGTTCATGACCTCATTTCTCCTTTTTCAATCACAAGGGCTGAAGAAGAACGTGAGACATCACACCTCCTCCTATTAAGCGTGGGAAGTGTGGGCCTACGCCAGACCAGGGAGTGTCTCCACTCTCAACACAGGCAGCCACTCACTCACCTGATCTCAGATCTGTCAGAGTCAGACGAGGAGAAATGGAACACCACATTGAACAAGGCTCAGCACAACAATAGGGTCTCTCTGTCAACGGTCAACTGGGCAACCTGACTGCACTACAACAATAATCCAAAGGGCTGCTTCGTTGATTCACACAAAGCTGATGAAGGGTTCATGTCAACAGACATGACGGAAGAATCTGTGACAGGCACCAACAGTCTCCTGTTGAAACATGAGCCTGCAAGGAGCTTATTCTCCTGCTTCAGATTTGTTAAGAACATAATAACTAGGGGAAAAAAACTCTCAGTCAAACACACTGGTTTTTAAAAAAGGATTTGAGATTAATTCTGCTTTTGAATTTATGTGTGATCGCTAATAAAATCTCCGTCTAGATAATTCTTTACTGTGATTGTACAGCGTTTGAAACATGGTGCAATTTCCATTGCCCAGAGTCAACTAGCAAAAAGTTAGATATTTAGGTAAAAGTAGTCATTGAGGTAAAAATGTACACATTTGGTAGAATGGAAAAATTAAGGTACATTTACTACTACTTTACTAGCACGCTGTAGTGCAATTTGTGTTTCTAATTTTTTTCTTGTGCAAAAAAAAAAGGAATGCAAGTAAAACACAATACATTCACAGAGTAAAAGAACAAAGGCGTAGGTGTTATTTTTGTGCATGAGAGATAACCAGCTCCATCTATAAAGACCTCAGAACAGATGTCTCTCTGTGGGTTGCCCCTCTCTCTCTGTGTGTGCGTGTTAGATTCTTTTGGTTGCCAAAAGGCAATCAAAACCAGGTCTTACTATGGACTGCTATCTGATTTGAATTATACTTAGGTCAAGGTTAGGGAGAGTCCTTAACTGGTTACAGTTAGATTCTATATCGATATTCTACAGCACTGTATAGATTTTTATATTAGCAATTACCATGCTAATTTTCATGGCGTTGGTTCAATTTATTTTGTTTATTATTGTTTATTTAACTCGTAACTCGATGTTAAGCATCGTGTGTTTACTATGCTAACAGTTTCTTTCTGCAATTAAGTTGTATTTGTTCTGTACTGTGAACTACTCCAGTATTCTTGTTTTTACACTTTGTGCTTTATACTTTATTTTTATTTCTTGTCTTGACGCAGCCTGAAACAAAGTGCCAGTTGATAAAGAGAATTTCTTGTCTTGACGCAGCCTGAAACAGTGAAGAGAAGTAGTGACTCGTGGATACTGTTGTACAGTCGTTAATCCTGTTGTAAAAGAGCTTAGAGTTAATAACACTATAAATGACAAGAGATGGACTGTGTAAGAGTTACTCATCAATTAAGACCTGGTATAAAAGTCTTTCGAAAGAGGAAGAGAAAGATAAAATGACTGGGAGGTTGAACATGGTGGTTTTCACAGCAGCAACGTTCGTATTTCGTGCAGAAAGATTGAAACGGCACGTAAAACAAGGAGCCCTGAAAGGGGGGGGGATTATACCGAGAGGTTTTCTAAGCTCATAAAGAACTCAGGGCCAAACTTCTTATTTATTTCTGCATTAATTAACTTTCTTTGGCCATAAAGCTCTTTGTAGCTGCAGCCCCTCAGCCCCTCCTTCAACAACTCCCTGCACAGCCTGGCATCTCCCACGTCACTATAACAACCAGGGCTGAAACACACTACAATAACCCCCTCTGGTCCCATTCTGAGCTACAACACAGGAGGGAATATCACTGTGAATGTAATGTAATCAAATTAAATGTATTTGAGGACAAAGGTAATAGCTTATGTGTCTTAAGGACAGCATTTATTTCCAGAATTATTTCTCCTGTGCTTTCACAGAGTAAGGAATTAATAATAAGTATCTGAACATAGCAATTATACTAAGAAGCTACAATTATTTGGCTTAACATGTGAAGAGACAATAAATTCAAAAACCCAATGAAACCGAAACATTAAAAAGACACCAGTCAACGTACTGAGAAGAAATGGAAGGCATTAAAATAAAGATTTTTAGACAGAATGTGAATATTATGCATATTAGAAAACATGTTTGGTTCTATTTAGTTCAGAAGTTTTGGAGAAGAATATAAACCAAAACATATTGTCACCGAGATAAAACACAAACAATAAAACAAAGACGTTTTGTGAAGGGAACCTCAGACTACCATCATCAAAACTCTTTTTCATTAAATTATCTTCAGGCATAAATCGACATAACACGTACTCAAAACTGGTGAAGAATTATTTCTATAGGGCTAAAGCAAATCTCAATCATAGCTTACAAAAATCCCTGACTTAAGGCCTATACAAAGTTTCGTGGAAATGAAGGACCAGGAGAAAAGTAAACCAGAAGAAGAAGAGACGAATGACATGGGAAGGCCACAGACCAACTTTTCGAAAAAAAAAATCAAGAATAATTATTTTATAGTAATACTTTTGATAGTGTTATTTTTTAGTTTCGTGTATATAGATACAGGGAAACTCAATGATAGAGTGAATAGTGTAAAAGCAACACCAAAATAAATACATTTAAGCGTTTTCATTCAAAAAAGGCCAGAAAAGTGAAACTTACCTGACTCATAGTCGCTGATGTTGTCCTCCTGACCTGGTAATTCCTGTCACATCAACACAGCAGCGGTTGCTGTTGTTCAGTCACAGTGAATTCGTCTGTCTTTTTTATCCATCCACTCGCAGCCAGGCATTTTCTGTCCTCTTCTTTTCGCCAATACATGTCGCAAACAGGGGGGGGGGGGGGCAGACACACGGCTAACCCCTCACCAGTCCCCCCAGCTCCATATCACAGAGAGACTAATGGCTGTCTGTTGTTTTAGTTAGCCGCTTAAGCTAACTCACTTGAGAAAGTTCTTTCCTAATTGCGCAAGCTCCGCCGTGTTTAATTTTTCCTCACCGCGACCGGCACAACCTGTTGTTAGTCAAACAAGAGCGGAGGAGTAACATTAAACATGGCTGAATCAACCGGACTTTCGTCATAAAAGCAAAATAGTCGTATCGTTGCATCTAGTAACAGCTAAAAAGAAGCAGACGTCCTTCTTGGTGCAAACAGAAGCCAAGCATCATTAATGCACTTGTTGCAGCGTTTCAGGTGGGCGGGGTTTAAGGAGGTTACGACGGAAGACACTGGCTGACCGTAGCGTGACCATCTACCTGACAGCCAATCATTATTCAGGAAGTAAGTCCCTCGCCACAGACCGACGCCCACCGCGGATAGTTCTTCATTGAAGGAAAAAAAGCAGCGAAGAAGATGAGACAATACAAGCTCCCCACTTCCTGTAGCTTCTGAAAACAAAAACAAAAAAGACAGACTGGGCTTTCCAGTTGTTGTTAAATGTCTTCCTCGTGTCATACCGTTGTGTCATACCTGAATGTCTTGGATATTTTGTGTGCATGCCCTTCCCAACATACCACAGGAAGCCAGAGTACCTGAGAATTAATCTTTATTGTTCGTGAGACAAAAGGACAATAACATAATGAAGCAAACAATTGCACAACATGGTTTATAACGAGGTCTTATATGTATATGTATACTTTTACCTTTGTCTCTATCTACTACTGACGCCACACCATTGTCTGTGTTTTAAAAGTGTTGTTCAAGTAGTTTTGACTTTAACGAGCGTTGCTGTTGTTTTTGCTACTTTTTTATCTATTTTTGCCTTTCCTCTTATGTTTTAAATTATATTTTTATTATTTATTTTGTGAATTGATGGGTTTTTAAAAATCTTTTTTCTTCTAAAGTATCTTTTTTGGGCTACTACACAGCTAAATTTTAGCTCTTAATTTTATATAAATCTCAATTCTCCAGCTGAAGTATAGCATTATTCCAACCTAACCAATGAGTATAAAATATACCTTGCCTATAACCTGAACCAACGCATCTATACATTAGTTGCATAGTGCTAGTCATGAGAAAGTAAGTTTTGGTTTTAAAACAATCCTTAAGAATAGCATAAGCAAAAGTGCACACACATACACACACTTTGCATATAAAAGTGTATGGTATTTGTGATGATTATCAATCTGCAAAAATTAAAAAACCAGAGAAGGTTGTGTCATCATCTTCATCCGCAAAGAGCCCATTGAAGAGCTCTCCTCCAGCCACCTGCAGCCACACCTTATCTCCCATCTCCAGGTGCAGCACGGTGCCCCCTGCTGCCTGGTCTTCACTGCTCTGGTAGTTGTCCATGGTGTGGATGATCTTTGCTCCGTTCTTCATCAGGACCACCTTTACATTCCTGGAGTAGACGGTGATGTGGTAGGTGAAGTAGTAAGTGCCAGCCACAGAGCATGTGAATCTTCCTGTTTGTGGGTCGTAGTGATTCTGCTGGTTGTAGATGATCCTGTCAAACCGGATTGGAGCATTGGCTGCTGGGAGTTTGGTTTGTGCTGTGAGTCCCACGGAGAAAGCGCTATTAGAGGTAACCGCTGCATCTCCCTTCTCGCCCTTATCACCCTTTTCTCCTCGATTCCCTCTCTCCCCACGATAACCAATGCTGCCCTTGTGACCTGGGACTCCTATGTCCCCCTTAGGCCCTGGCCTGCCAGGGGATCCCAGTGGTCCTTGAATGCCTCTGTCCCCTTGAAGACCAGTTTCACCTTTTTGACCCTGCGGTCCAGTGGGCCCGAAGTCACCTTTTATTCCTTGTGGTCCAGGCAATCCAAGCTCTCCCTTATTGCCTTTTAAACCCATTGGTCCTTGGACGCCTTGGGGTCCCAATTTCCCAGGAGGGCCCCGTTCTCCATTTTCACCCCTTTTTCCCTTGAGCCCGGCTGGACCAACAGTTCCTTTAAATGACAGCTGTTATAAACTTCCGTAAGTGATTATCATTATAAAGATGTATATTGTATAGAGCATTTACTGCTTAACAGACATCTCAAAAAGCTACGTCAAAGATGACAAAGAAAACTTGACAAAGGAATTCCAATGACTTGTTAAGGTACATACCCAGGTCCCCTTTGTCTCCCTTTTGGCCATGAGCTCCTGATGGACCAGAAGCACCAGCCTCACCTATTCATGCATGATTGATAAATAACAATGCTGTTACAGACGTAAAGTTGATGATGACAATGTGGAGAAATGTAGTCACAACTAGTGGAAAAAAAGTTTCTTACCTGTATCCCCTTTTTCACCTCTGAGTCCATCGCGCCCATCTCTGCCAGGGGAGCCATTGTGTCCAGGATCCCCTGGTATTCCAGGGTATCCACAAACACAGCCTTTCCGTTGGTCTTCCTGCTGTGCAGCACACCAGATCACCAATAGAAGGAGCAATAGAGCAACTCTGAACATAATTTGCATCATCGTGTTCTGTACTCTAAAAAAAATTAGTTTCCCTGATGCAAAAAAAGTTAAAATAAACAAATGTCAAACACACAATTATGGTCCAAATTAAATGTACAACTGCAAAAATAAACCCTTAAAATCTTTTTAAAAAATGGTCAAGTCGATGAGCACTAGATTAAATGCAGCCAACCTAAGAACATAAAAAGATGAACAAAGAACTTTGGACAAGACTGACGTGGGCGCTCCCACGGCTCTCTCATTGGTCTGTGTTTTTGGCTTACATATTGAGTCAGTCAGTTGTACATCACATGTGTCTCTGCAGACACCACACCAGTTGGGATGAGGCTAATAATAAGCTGACACACTGTGTTTGTGAGGGCCACACATGCCAAAGGTTGCATAGTTTTACATTTCTCTGCTGCAAAGAAGACCTTGGGAGAATGATTAGAACATGTTGTCACTACACATGTTTTATTTTGAAACTGACCTACTGTTTCTCCTGACCACTCAAAATGCAGTTGGACACTTTTTATCAAGAATATATGTTTTCAATTTTTTTGGCTAATTTTTAGCTGTTGGAAGCTATTATTAAATTATTTCTTGGCTTTTTGATATTGATTTAATGGAAAATTTAAGCTAGTCGGGGCTTGTTCGTGTATCTGTTCTCTTTTGGTTGTACTTAGATATTGTTACCAATGTGAAGTGTGG